AATACCACTGAGCGACCTGGAGATCTGGAGCTGGAGAAAGCTTTTGGGGTTAAACAATTTGAGAGCGGTTTCACCCCTTAAAGGAAAGAGAGCGCCCAGGGGCCTCCTTGCATCATAGCATTTTCATTTAGATGAAGTTGTTATGATGACCAGAATGTTCCTTTTAATTTGATTAAAGGAACATTATAATGTCAGGAAAACAAACGTATTCCTGACACCATAGTTGTGAAAGTGCTATTCACCCTGGCTTTTTGTGATAATGACTATGCTCCTCCCCTTCATGACACTGTCAAAAAGGGGCCAAGCATGGATGTCATTACAATTATGCCTCCACCCCGCCCCGGAAAAATTCCTGCGGATGCCCATAGTGTGATCATCTTTATCATCTTCCTGGCCTTGCAGGAGCTGTTCACAGCTTGCAATTCCTGGAAGGGGGCGGAGCGACAAGAATTAATTATGTGAGCAACATCATATCAGGATAAAAAGGTCCTCTGTCTACCACACTAAGTGCTACACAAGAGTGAACAGCAGGACCTTTACCTGTTTTTTGGGAAACTATTGTACATTGCTTCCTTCCCAGACTATTTGCTGATACTCTTTGTGCAAGCATACTGACCAATGCCAAACACTGAAACTATGTCTAGCTTTAGCTTAATCCTAATCCTGGTTTAACCTTGTTAATCTTCACATACATACTATAACAATAACACTGAAGCTCACACATACTATAACCATAACACTAACCATAACATTAACCTCACACTATTCATAACACTTATTTTTTATTTCCCTCTTAGTTACTAAATTATATTATTACAGGCTTTCACAATGTGATTTAAAGTTCTGGCAGCCTGATCGCACACAGACAGTGATTGGTGCGGGGCAGTGCACATAGTGTGGTGATCACAATCCGCAGTTTGCTATTGGCTGTAGAGGATTTTAACCCTTTGAGGTATGTCACAGCTTGAGACCTCCTCGCACCATAAAACTTAAAGGACCACTCTAGGCACCCAGACCACTTCAGCTTAATGAAGTGGTCTGGGTGCCAGGTCCTTCTAGGGTTAACCCATTTTTTCATAAACATAGCAGTTTCAGAGAAACTGCTATGTTTATCAATGGGTTAAGCCTTCCCCCTAATCCTCTAGTGGCTGTCTCATTGACAGCCACTAGAGGCGCTTGCGTGCTTCTCACTGTGATTTTCACAGTGAGAGCACGCCAGCGCCCATAGGAAAGCATTATGAATGCTTTCCTATGTGACCGGCTGAATGCGCGCGCAGCTCTTGCCGCGCGTGCGCATACAGCCGACGGGGAGGAGAAGAGGAGGATCGGAGGAGGAGAGCTCTCCGCCCAGCGCTGGAAAAAGGTAAGTTTTACCCCTTTTCCCTTTCCAGAGCCGGGCGGGAGGGGGTCCCTGAGGGTGGGGGCACCCTCAGGGCACTATAGTGCCAGGAAAACGAGTATGTTTTCCTGGCACTATAGTGGTCCTTTAATTCTGCTGAAGGCTGAGAAGTTGGGTTATGGGCTGTAGTGGGGGAATAGGAGCTGTAGTGGAGGGTTACGGGCTGTAGTAGCGGATAGGGGCCATAAGAAAGATAATAGGGGCTGCAGTGGGGTATATAAAGGCTGTAGTTAGAGTTAGGAGTCGAAGTGGGGGGCATCAGTAGGGGTAGGAGTGGGTGAGAGTAGCAATAGTGAGGGTTAGAGGCTGAAGTGGGGCGTTAGGGGCAGTAGTGGGGGGTTACAAGTGAAGTGGGGATATAGGACCTATAGTGGGTGGTAAAAGCAGAAGTGGGATTATGACCTGTTTTGGGGGGATAGGCAGTACATGGTATTAGGGGCTGAAGTCGGGATTTGGGCTGTAGTGGGGGATAAATGCAGAATTGGGGAGTTAGGGGAAGTAGTGGCTGTCAAACCATGTCCATCATTGACAGAGCTAAAATCAAATGCTATGTTTAAACAAAGTATAGACAAACATGATGGAATCATAAGCTTCATTGTATTTCAGTGACGAAAAGTTGTTAATGTACTTGCCATTCAATGAGAAATGTTCCCAAATCTCATTGTACATGTACTTACATTTATGAAAATTAATAAAAACAAATAATTTAAAAAGCTAAAAAAATAAAAACTGTACTTTAACCGATGAGTAATTGTTGTGATACGTTTTTTTATTTTGAAGCATTAATATTTGTGGTCAGCGAAGTCTCCCGAGTATAACAGTACCCTGTTTTACTCGTGAGACATTGCTGAAAACGAATACAAATATGTGCATTTTATTGCAGTAAAAGCAAACAGTAGTATGACATTTATAGCTAAAATATTAGGCGGAACTACAAATTTATTAAAAAAATCTTAATTTCTCACAGTTTTTTACATTTTATTCATAATAAGTTATGTTTCCTATATGAATAGTTAATGAGAGATTAAATCCCTGTTTCTGCTGAACAAAATGATATATAATAAGTGTGGGTGCACTTAATATGAAAGAGGTGAATTACGGGTGAACAGACATATAGCGCAAATTCCAGTTTTTGTTTACATTTTGTTTTGATCAGAACGTGTACTATTGACTCTGTCCTAAGGGATTAAATCCAAGCTATTTAGGGCAGCACTTCCCATCACGAGTCCCTACAAAGCCCAAGCTCCCTATCGGGACAAACCTCATTTGGGACTATTTGACAACATGCATGGGTCCACTTTCTCACAGCAGGATAGGCTGGCTATGTGCAATAATACATGAGAACGCTCCTGCTTTTTTCTAAATCTGACTAAAACCACCAAAAATGAATCAAGTCCTGTGAACATCGCGTGAAAAAGTATATTTGGACCCTGATGGGTTAACCCCTTAAGACCGGAGGGCGTACTATTACGCCCTATTCTAAGCGGCTCTAAACGCCGCCGGGCGTAATAGTACACCCTCCGGTCTTTCGGTACTTACCCGGTCGCCGGCGATCCCACGCCGGTGATCGCGGTGGGGGGGACTCCCAGGGAGCCCCCCACGGCACGTCCATCCTCGTCGAAGCCCCCCGGCCGTGTGAGAGTGGGGTTCTTGCGAGGACCCCACAATCACATGGCCGGGGGTAGCTGGCTGCAGCATTGCCAGCAGGGGGGCTGCCTGTAATGACAGGTGGTCCCCCTGCTAGCTGAAAATAAAATTAAAATAAATAAATAGTGTAAAAAAAATAATAATATATACTTAGATCATATATATATATATTATATATATATATTATATATATATGATCTAAGTATATATATACACATATACATACACACACGTACACCGTCTAGGTGTATTTTACTATTAATATATATATAATTATATATATATATTAATATCAAATTACACGTAGACTGATACTGATTAAATATATATATAATTATTGTTACATATATATTTATATATAATATAAAAAAAATAAAAATGTAAATACGTTAAAAAATAAAATTAAAAAAATAATTAAAAATAAATAATTAAAAATATATAGATGTGTGTTATTTAGTTCTAACTGTATTGTGAAATTAATATATATATATATATATATATCAAAATACACGTATAACGAAATAATATATATATCTATATACATAAATATATACGTATATATCACTATATATATACCTATATATAAATAAAAATATTTAAAAAAAATTATATAGATATATACATATATATACACATACGTATAATATATACATATTAATTCTACATATATATTTATGTAATATTTTTATATAATTAGGTATCTTAATTAATTACAATTAGCAGGACCTGCCTGACAACCCATGCCGAAAGTAAAGGGAATTTAATTTGCTAGCACTATATTTAACCCTATAACTTTCCGAGACACCATAAAACCTGTACATGGGGGGTACTGTTCTACTCGGGAGACTTCGCTGAACACAAATATTAGTGTTTCAAAGCAGTAAAATGTATTACAACGATGATATCGCCAGTAAAAGTGACGTTTTTTGCATTTTTCACGCACAAACAGCATTACACGGACAATATTATTGCTGTGATACTTTTTACTGTTTTGAAACACAAATATTTGTGTTCAGCGAAGTCTCCCGAGTACAACAGTACCCCTCATGTACAGGTTTTATGGTGTTTTCAAAAGTTACAGCGTCAAATATAAGGGCTTGTGTTTCATTTTTTTCACATTAAAATTCGCCAGATTGGTTACGTTGCCTTTGAGACCCTATGGTAGCCCAAGAATGAAAATTACCCCTATGATGGCATACCATTTGCAATAGTAGACAACCCAAGGTATTGCAAACAGGATATGTCCAGTCTTTTTTAGTAGCCACTTAGTCACAAACACTGGCCAAAATTGGCGTTTTTTGCATTTTTCACACACAAACAAATACTAACGCTAACTTTGGCCAGTGTTTGTGACCAAATGGCTACTAAAAAAGACTGGACATACCCCATTTGCAATACCTTGGGTTGTCTACTATTGCAAATGGTATTCCATTATGCGTGTAAATTTCATTCCCGGGCTACTATACAGTCTCAAAGGCAACGTAACCACTCTGGCGAATTTCAATTTCAAATGTAGCGTGCTATATTTGACCCTGTAACTTCCCAAAACGCCATAAAACCTGTACATAGGGGGTACTGTCTTATACGTGAGACTTTACTGAATACAAATATGTGTATTTTATTGCAGTAAAAGCAAACAGCATTATGACATTGACCGTTAAAATGTCATGTAGAACTAAAAAAAATCAAAAAAAAATCTTATTTTCTCCCATTTTTTTTCATATTAAATTATGTTTCATAGCTAAATATTTGATATTAAATAAAAGCCCTGTTTCCCCTGAATAAAATGATATATAATAAGGGTGGGTGCATTTACTATTAACGAGGTGAATTACGGTTGGACAGACATGTAGCGCAAATGCCAGGTTTTGTTTACATTTTGTTTTGTTCACAACGTGTACATTTGGCTCCGTCCTTAAGGGGTTAATAGCAAGACCGCCTGAAACTTTGACTGATTTGCCCAATATCACTACTGGTACAATAAGCAGAACTTTTCCGTTTCCAAAGCAACGTGATGCTCTCGACGGATGTGACGTTGTGCGGGGAACAGGATGTATTTCTGAGTCTCGCGATAACTGCTGGCGGAAGAACGAGATCTTTCTTTTTCTCAGAGTATCTGGCAAGATGGTGGGTGTTTAGTTTTCTCCTCGATTATAATCCGTATCAATCCATTTTATGGCGCTGCGCAGGCGAGCCGATTTTAATGGGATATACTGTACGAGACGATGGAGAACCAGGGCCTGATATTATAAGTTCCGATAGCAACACCGACACTTTAATTAATCCCGGAATGTTGTGTGTGGGCCTGGCCTCCTCTGGCTGCGTCCCCTGTAGCTGGGATGTTAATCATGTTGCCTGCGCTGATATAGGCTTGTGTCCATATGTGCGGTTATGCGAAGCTTTAGAAGTGTTCCGAGTCGGTACACCGTTACAATGGAAGTGGCCACTGGGTCCTCGGTGTTTTTAATCCGGGTCATTCATGGCATTGGCTGTAGACGTTTAGATTCCTGAAGATGCTGTCATTGTGAAGGCCATCGTGGTTGAAATGTGTAGCTATCATTATAGTTTATGTGGCGTGTGTATAAGCCGAGCATATTATCTGGAAACACAGGTTCTCTGTACATCGCTGCGGAATATGTTAATGCTTTATAAATAATATATTATGCCTATGGTCCTGACTTATTTACTCTGGTTTCAGGCGGACGTCGAGCAGAAGAAGAAAAGGACCTTCAGGAAATTCACCTACAGGGGGGTAGACCTTGACCAGCTACTGGACATGTCCTAGTGAGTGTCTTAAGTCATGTTTTGTCTTTGTTTTCTTGTTCACAATTAATGCAAACTGTAATACTGCTAGCTGTGCATGCCTCATGTTACCCAGTAGATGTATTGGTAAATGTGTTTTACATATATACACGCAAGCTGCCTGTATGGTACATAGGGTTATTGTCTGGTGGCTTTTGGAATTCTAGTAATGTAGTGTTTGTTCACTAAACAGTGAATTGAGAACAAAGTAACAGTAAAGTTTATATAAACCTTGATAATGTAAATATATGACCCATTGTACCACTGGGTAAAACTATGTGTGTGTGTGTGTGTGTGTATATATATATATATATATATATATATATTTTTATATATATATATATATATATTATTGCGTGCCATACTAGGATACATATCTATATTAGATTACATGAGGAAATGTATACTGTATGGTCAGATTTCCAGTTTGTGGTTTTGGGAAGTATTTGAGATTTTAGTTATTTTAATTACATACAAATTTGAGTAAGGATTGGTTAAGTATTGGTACCATTCTTAACTTGTGAATTTGACTTGTGTGTTTGCAGTCATTGGTTTTCCTGCTGGTGGCTTGACCGTAAAACATAAGACCAAATTGTTAAGTAAAATATTTAACTCCTACAATTACTAGGAATTTGGGTAGCATATTGTATAAAATTCTTCTAGTATGGGCTTTCATATAGCGATAATGACTGTCTAATAATGTGTACTTTTTACAGCTGTAATCTAAATTCCTGTTTTTTTTTTGGTTTTTTTTAAATAACAATTTGGGCTATGCACTTTTATCATATGGAGCTATATATGTAGCTAGTAGTGCTATTTAGATGTCTAGTTGAAAGTGCCTTTATTGTAGTTGATAAGGCACTGTCATAAGTTCAGTTAATGTTCATCTGCCTTTTTTTTTTTTTTTTTTCTTTAGTGAGCAGATCATGCAGCTCTACTGTGCTCGCCAGCGCAGACGTCTAAACAGAGGCCTCCGCCGCAAGCAGAACTCTCTTCTGAAACGTCTGCGAAAGGCAAAGAAAGAAGCTCCTCCTATGGAGAAACCAGAGGTCATCAAAACCCACTTGAGGGACATGATTATTCTACCAGAGATGGTGGGCAGCATGGTTGGGGTGTACAATGGCAAAGCCTTTAACCAGGTGGAAATTAAGGTGAGAATCTTAACCCTTCAGTAGCTTAGTAGCACATTATTTGATGAGGGTCTTTAAGCTGACTTGCTCCCTTAAAGGGATACTCCAGGCACCCAGACCACTTCTGCCTATTGGAATGGTCTGGGTGCCAACTCACTACCCTTAACCCTGCAAGTGTAATTATTGCAGTTTTCATAAACTGCAATATTTACCTTGCAGGGTTAAGTCCTCCACTAGTGGCTGTCTACTAGACAGCCACTAGAGGGACATCCGTGTTCTTAAAACACGAAAAGTGTTTTCAGTGACGCTGGACGTCCTCACACTATGTGAGGACCTCCAGCGTCGCCGAAATCCCCATAGGAAAGTATTGTGTAATGCTCTCCTATCGGGAGGTCTAATGCGCGTGCGTGGCCATTGCTGACGTCGGCAGGGTAGGAGAGTAGACGGAGCCTGACCCAGCACCGAGGGACATCGGTGCTGGACTCGGTAAGTCACTGAAGGGGCAACTTGGCCTCTTCAGCAACTTGGGATGGAGGGTGGGAGGGAGAAGGGCACTCCAGGGTCCTGCAATGCCAGGAAAACTGTTTTCCTGGCACTGGAGAATCTCATCTCATGCATTTGACTTTGTTTTACAACTTTTTATTTCACAGTTATGTGGTATTCCTTAAATTGATCTTGCTATATTGTGCTAGTAAGTGAAATGGTCACTCTAAATACTAAAAAACTTAATAAGCTGATTTAAATTTAATGCAACTCTTCCAAGTGAGTAGCTTATAACTACAAAGATTGTAAAATGTATAATTGTAAGACAATCTGTTGGGCACACCTGCACAAGAACGGGGAACACCCTCCTTCATAGGATTGTTGCTTACTCAATTTACGTGTGTGTGCGCGCGCTCTCTCTCGCTCTGTTGGTTTAATCCTACACATGCCAAACCTGTAACAATTTCATTAACTCATTGGTTTATTGCTTTACCTATGCCTATATATCACTGTTATACGGATATTATAGTTGCCATCAGGGCATGACAACCATTACCCATGTGCACATATATAGTGATTACTGCTATATATGTGCATCTTTAGGTACCTGTACACTGCATGAGAACCACGCACACTCGATTTCCACTTCCCAGCCGCTCTGCTCGAAATCTCGCCAGCGCCGCAGTCATCAGAGGGTTACCATGGCAACGCTCTGCTTGCAAGGGTTAGACAGAGAAGAGCAGCTGGGAGGTGGAGTGTGCTGGAGCTCCCTGCCATATACAGGTAGCTGGGGTCGGGTACCAAACCACCAGGGAAGGTGATCTTCCCCTCCCTGGCCACAGGTATGACATTGGGAGGGGGTAATAAAATGTTTTACAATGGGGGTGGGGGGTGTATGCTCTCCTCCCCCCTCCCCCCACTACATCCTTACACAAACACTCTGCATTCACTATATGCACACTACATCCACTACACAAACAAACACTTAAAATCTGCATCCATGACACACACACCTCATCCACCTTACACATTCTACATTCACTATACACACACTGCATCCTTGTGGGTGAACTCAGGGGCAGGGCCCAGAACTTCAGCTGTGTCAGGGGGCCCCAAAACATCTGATGGCAGCCCTGGTCACCAGAGCATCAGCATAATATAGTTGTGCTGGTGTCTTTTCATCTAAACGGGTAGTGTTTTTATTGCTGCTTAGGCTAGATCACTGCTTCGGCACTGCTGATGTGGACTAAATCGCACACGATGTTCTTAAAGTCATTATGGTGGCATAGCATCATGGGACGTGTAGTCCAAAACATCTGGAGTGCCGAAGGTTGCCTAGACCTACGCTAGATCGTCAAATTTGATCCTAAGGAGGCAGAGAGAGACAGGGCCAGCCTTGACGAGACCAGTGCCGCACTAGGAAAAAGGGTACACAAACTACCTTTTTAAAGGGGGCTGGGAATCTAATTGTGTTTTCTTTAACCCTAGTGTCAGGAATACATTTTTGTATTCCAGACACTATAGTGTTCCTTTAATATACTTAAAGGGACACTATAGTTCACTGCAGGCAATCTAATGTAAACACTGTATTTTCAGATAAAATGCAGTGTTTACATTGATAGGAATACCTCCAGTGGCTGTCACTCAGACGGCCACCAGAGGGACTTTCTATCATGTAGGGCCTTAAAAAGGCCTTGTACACGTCAGACGTATTAAAATACGTCTGACATGTGCAGGAGAGAGAGAGAGAAGGCACTGTGTGCGTGCTTTCTCTCTCCTGTCGGTCAGCAGAGGAGAGGGGGCGGGGAAAGACCGTGAGCTGAGCTGTCAGTCAGCTCGTGCATGCGCGGTAGTGCGCCCAGGACTTCATAGGGCGGCGTGAATGCCGCCCTATGAAGTATGTGCGGCTAAGCCGCGCATGCGCACCAGGGAGCAATGACTCTTCCAAATGGAAGCGTCTGATTGCTCGCGCCTGCCTATTTCGTCATTTTTCAGCTTCACGAGGCTCCCGGCGCTGGAACCAGGTAAGTAAAATCATCTGCCTTGAGAGTCCCTTTAAACTTTGCTTTCTTTGTGTACTGTCTGAGATATGTCTTTAAACTAGGCACTTCTCTTAAACCCTCCCCCCCACCCAAAAAAACCCCTTTCCCCTAAGGTTTAAAATTGCTGCTCTTTGTGCCAGACAAACACATTTACTTTTTAGTTTGGGGCACCTAGAGCCCGGACCCTGAATTTTCCTTAATTATCTATATGGAAAAACTGAGACAAAATTGATTTGGAAAACTTATTGTATATGTTTGCAATTAAATCTTTTTTTAATTTTGTTTTATATATAAGCTTTTTTTTTTAAATTTTTTTTTTACCCCTTTCTTCTTTTTAGCCTGAGATGATTGGCCATTACCTGGGAGAGTTTTCCATCACTTACAAGCCTGTGAAACACGGCAGACCGGGTATTGGTGCCACCCACTCCTCTCGGTTCATTCCACTGAAGTAAACTGCAAATGGTGTAAATAAAGTTTTCAAGCCATTTTTGTCCTATGATTTATGTGCATTATTCTGAGTTGCTTCTTTGTATTTCACTATAAAACAGAGTTGTATGTATCCTTGGATTAGTTATAAAAATATTTGCCCACCTTATTAGATTATTTTTGCATGGTATTTTATGTTAAAGAATATTATCCACCACAAAAAGCCAAAGATACTGTAAATCATTCTATCTTCAGGACTCGTTTCTATCTATCTTCAGAAACAATGACTATTTTGTACACCATAACCACTTAATTACAGTGTAGTTATGGCACGAGGAGATCCCAGGTGCTATCTTACAGGAGTGGGTTAAATTGGCAACGAATAGTTGAATCACTCTGCATCTGCATTTCTGCTCCATGTCAAAGCCTTCAATCAGGAAGCCTTAGTCCAGTGCCACTTATAGGCTGACACTATCGGCCTCTCTGTTGTTATGTTACCTGGAGTATCTATCCCCTGGGACATTACTCATTAGAACCACTAACTTAATGTAGTGGTTCTGGTGACTACCCTTTTTCTGCAGGCCTTTCAATGTCAAAATTGCCTTTTCCTTTTTTTTTTTAATTTTTTTTAGAGAATAGGCATTGTTTACATTGCCACCTTGTAACACCTCTAGAGGCAGTCAAACAGACGGCCACTAGAGGTGCTTCCTATGTTCGGCGTAGAGCTTCTGACTGTGCGCAGCATGGGTTTGCTATGCATACGCAATAGTGTCACAATGACTTCCTAAGTTTAGGCATTGACTTGGCTTAGATCATAATTGATCTTGGCTATGGAGGTGGGTCCAACCACAGCGAGGATGAAGAGTCGGATCACCAGGTGTATAGATTGTGCATAATCTACTGTTAAACTAAAGAGCACCTTGACATATATGCATGTTTGAAGGGTTACACTAACACACTTTTTTCAAAATTTAAAAATAAAATTCCTTCTACCCTGACTAAAAATGACCCTGTGGGCATTATGTCCCCACTTATAATTATGTACTTGCAAAAGAAAAAAAGCAAATATGAACTTACCTGGAATCTAGTTCTGGGTTAAGCTCCCATTGCTGGATTTCACACCAATGCCAAATGTTATCTTTGTCCTAAAGAAACTGTCCAAGCAAATGCTTCTAAATAGGAATGTGTGCCACAAGAGCGCAGAGTGCATGCTGTAATGCAGGTGTGGGGAACCTAAGAACAGAGTTCTGGGCTGCCTATGTTGTGTGCTGGGGGTGCAACTAGCCCTTGTACCAATGGTAAATATAACAGAAAATTGTTACAATACTTACTGTAATTTTCTTTTCCTGGCCAATATCCATGTCAGCGTCACCTGTTAGCTCCTCCCTCTCAGCTGATAGGACAGGAATCTAAGTTTCAAATGATGGTATATATGGAATCCACCTCCGTAGGATAAGCAGTCTCGTAACCAAGTCAGTCCAGAAAAAAAGGTAGGGTTCATTGATGGTGACATGGATATTGACCACGAAAAGAAAATTACAGAAAGGTATTGTAACAATTTTCTGTTTTCCTGGCCAATCCATGTCAGTATCACCTGTAGGACTTCCCAAGCAAAAGTAAAGGGTGGGTGATTAAAAAAAACAATTCTACCATATCAATGTTAAACAAAATGTAATCAAACAGTTGCGGAAGTAGGGCATTTCACACAAATGAGGAGGCACAGGGCCTGAAACGTCTAGGCCAGGCTTTACCAAACTCCGGCCTAGATGTTGCTGAACTACAACTCCCATGATTCTCCGCTTATCTTTCATTCATAGAATCATGGGAGTTGTAGTTCAGCAACATGTGGAGGGCCGGAGTTTGGGGAAAGCCTGGTCTAGGTGATAGTGCCTCACATAAGTGTTGAAAGATGACCAGGCTACAGCCCTACAAACTTCTTCTGTAGAAGTATCGGCTAAGGAGGCCGAGATAGCATTAGGTCATTGAGAGAGCTTTATCACTGGTTTGTCAGTGAAAATAAGAGTCTGACTTAAATTCTTTAGTACGATCAAGGTAAATGCGTAAAGACCTAACCCCATCCAAAGTATGCCAAAGGGATTCTTCGTCAGAAGAAGGGCTTTCCAAGAAAGAAGGTAGGATAATCAGGTTCATGTGAAATTAGGAAAGGAACCTTTTTAATATCGGAACCAACTTTAGAGCCGCCATATCTCCTACAAATTGAGTAAAAGGATGATAGAGCTTGTAATTCTGAAGGTTTTCTGGCTGAGGTGATGGCAACAAGGAAAAAACATTTCAGTGTTAAGACCCCTAAAGCTGAAGAATCCATAGACTCAATGGGTGTGCCTGTCAGACTATGCAAAACTGTAGGCAAGTCCCATGTTGGGATGACTTTTTTAAAAGATGGTCTAATTCTCATTGCTCCTTTGTTAAAACATTTATTCGTAGGAAAATTGTACTTTAAAGGGACACTATAGTCACCAGAACAACTACAGCTTATTGAGTTTGTTCTGGTGAGTTGAATCATTACCTTCTTTTTGCAGTAAACAATTTTTTTTTTCAGAGAAAATGCAGTGTTTACATTACATCCTAGTAATAACTTCACTGGCCCCTCCTTAGATGGCTGTTAGAGATCCTTCCTGGGTCATGGTTGCCTAAATGCATCCAAACATTCAGTATCTCCTTCCTCTACATGCAGGCACTGAACTTTCCTCATAGAGATTCATTGATTCAATTCATCTTTATGAGGAGATGCTGATTGGCCAGGGCTGTGTTTGAATCAGGCTGGCTCTGCCCCGATCTGCCTCTTTGTCGGTCTCAGCCAATCCTATGGGGAAGCATTGTGACTGGATCAGGCTACCACTTCTGCTGATGTCAGTGCTCAGTGGGCAGCTCAAAAGGAAACAATGACGAGATGGGCGGGCTGTACGTGACGTTGGCGTGCACGTAAGCGCCAGGACCGCGCGTCTCCAGGGGCCAGGTAGTGGGGCAATGAAGCAGGCGAACTAAACGAGGCAAGGACGCTAGGCGGAATGGCGCTGAAGCTTTTTGATCAGCGAGGTACGAGTAGGAGAAGCGGCTGCAAAGCTGCCACATAGCCGGTACAGAGATACAAACGGATATAGCGGGGTATTAATTCGCTTTCCCCTTCTGACTCCTGACTCCCACGGTATGGCAATCGGCTGAATAGTTGTTAGAAAGTTGATACATAAGCTGATTCACTGAGACAATTAGTTGCCATGAGTATGTTAATTGGCTGAGCAGCTGCTGTAATGCGGTCATCAAGATATAAAAGCTACAAAGTTATAAAAGCAGCTACATTTGCCATTTGATTCCCATGTGTATGTTAATTGCCTGAGCAGCTGCTGTAAAGGACACAAGGTTATAAAAGCAGCTACAATTGAGGCATTTCCCTGTTACTGATTTATATTTTATATGTGACAAACAAGAGGTATTGGAGCTTGCTGATATACTGAGGAAGAGGAAGAGTAATCTTCAAGTACGATTTGGGCTGATATTGTGCATATAAATCTACAGACTGAAGGTACTTATACTCATAAACAGAAGATTGATTATTGAACATACTCTTAGTATATACTGATTCTTATACCATACCTGATAAATAAGAGTTAAATTAAAGAGACAGTTGTCTGGCGCTGCAGTGAAGAGGAAATGAGAGACTTGGGCTAATTGTGAAAAAGCAATTTAAATTCCACAGCTATTCTTAGTGGAGTATAAAATTTAACCTAGGTGTTTTAGAACTACATATGGCTCCGAAAAAAGAGAGAGCCCAAAATATGGAGAAAAAGAAGGCAACAATTGGTTCATTTTATTCACCCAAAGCTGCAGGCATAGAACTAGAGAGGCAACGAAAGTCTCTGCCTCTAGAAAATGCTCAGCTTCCAGCACATCAATTATCAAATATATTAGAGGACGACTTACCATACCTGTCAAAAACCCCACAGGGATTGACGCAACAACTTTTAACCCAATTGCTGGACAATTTACATAAAAAGATCCAAACGGATATTGAAAACAACTCTAAAGATATCAGATTGGAAATTGCCACTCTCTCTGAGAAACTCTCAAATCAGGCAAACATATTACAAAAAGTACAAGAGGAATACGAACAAATTAAAACATCTAATATACAGTTAGAGAAGAGACTGCAGGATATTGAGATCAAGCTGACTGATCTTGAGGATCGTTCAAGGAGAAACAACGTAAGAGTCAGAGGCATACCGGAATCAATTTTACAAGAAGATTTATATTTGTATTTGAATAACTTCTTTTCAAAAATATTATCCAGACAGACGCTGGGCCCTGAGACATTTGAAAGATTCCATAGACTGGCAAGATCAAATGGAACTAACAAGTCCTATCCAAGAGATGTTATGATTTGTTTCGCTAGTTTTTGGATGAAGAACCAAATAATGCAGAAGATAAGGAACGGGATCCTGGACACTGAAGAATGGAGACATTTAAAAGTTTATCAGGACTTATCTTATGAGACAAGACAAGCAAGAAGAACTTTTGCCGAAGAAACGCTTATTCTTAGGAATTTGGAGATTAGATATAAGTGGTTGTTCCCGACGGCGATTATGGTTTTCTTCAAAGATAAAACATATATCTTTAGAGACAACTTGGCATTAAAGCAGAAGATGATAAGTTTGAAAATTATTCCTTAGTCTCAATTAATCAAACTCCTCCTCCTTTTTTTCTTTTTTTTTTTTCTCTCACTATATAGAAGTGATAAAGTTAAAAGGGGTAACCACAGAGTTATAGACATAATAGATAAATTGATATAAAGACACATAAGATAATTTAAGCAGTATGAATTGAACAAAAAGAGGTTTATAACACATAGAAGTATTGAAAATTTTTTATAAGATCTTTGGATATGGGTAGAAAGGGTGTATATCTGTTTTAGGAATGTTATAGGGGTTAATTATACATGAATAATGAAAATAATCATAGATTTATATTTAATGTAACGAATAGGGAAGTTGAGTTTAAAACACGATATATATGTATGGATACATTATTTAACTTAAGTGAATGAAATGAATGTAGTGAATATCACAATATCACAACAATTATAAGTTTAACTAAATTTTGTATGAAATTGGCATATTGGAGGAAGTAAGGGAGGAGTAGGGAAAAGGATCATTT